CAATGGATTAAATGACTTGATACATAAAAGTGTTTAGAACAGTTTCTATAAGAAATATGAAAGTATTAGCTATTATTATGAGTATTATTCTTTCATTATACAATGCTGCATCAAAGGCCATAAATACAGATTTTAATTAACATGATAATTTGGGTATAATGTTAAGTGAAAATATGAGAATACAAAATTGTATCTACACTATCATTATAACCATGTAAAAGGCAGTATATAAATGGACAAGAACTAGAATTTCCACACCAAAAAGACTGTATTTGTTGGGATATTGGTACTATGGTGAATTTATTTTCTTTTAACTTGCAATAATATTGTTTCATAAGAATAACAACAATATGGGGCGCCTGGATGGCTCTGTCAATTAAGCGTCCGACTCTTGATTTCGGCTCAGGTCATGATTTCAGGGTCATGAGATTGAGCCCCGCGTCAGGCTCTGTGCTGAGAGGGGAGTCTGCTTGAGATTCTCTCTCTCTCCTTCTCTCTCTGCCCCTTCCCCCCTCACTCGTACTCTCTCTCTCTCTCTCTCTTAAAAAGAAAGAAAGAAACTCTACTAACTGGGGACTTAGGCTCAGGCTAGGCCCTTTGGGGAACTTGGTGTTATTGGCTGAAGCAAGACACTACTGCATAAGGATTCAATTCACAGGCTCTGAAATGACAGATCCAGGTTAAACTTCATATCTGTGGCTGAACGCTGGCGTGAAGCTTAGGCCAATTACTTAACTTCTGAGAGCCTCAGTTTTCTCATCTGTAAGTCACAGATCATAACTACCTCATGGGTTTGTTTGGTTTTTTTTTAATGAGTAATAAATAAGATAATGAATATGCACCCCACCAAGACTATCACAATTCAATATTTACTAGTGTAATTAGCTGTTTAATGTCTCCCTCATTATGACATCCTCTGATGTCTTAGGAGATAAGCTCCACCAAAGCATTGCAATTGCATATTGCAGCCTCTAGCACAATGCTTTGCACATAGTAAGCGTTCAGTAAACATGTGAATGAATGCATGAAAAGCTTATGGTCGTGGCAGTTTCCACTACACTAAGAGCCACGTTGAGTGGAACTAAACTTCCACTAGTTTTGTGGCAGTTTCCGCTACAGAAAGGTGATTGAATTTAGTGTTGGCGCAGGAAAAGTCCTACGCTGCATGGTATTGGCTTTAGCTGGCATAGCAGGGCCATGTGCTCTGTGCACAGATACACAGCCAAGGGGCTGGGGGTGGGGACGGAAATCCAAGCCTCTGACCTGGCAGGGGGCAGCGTACACAGATTGTCTCCCTGGAACCAGAGACGACTTTCTGTAATTCCCACAAAGGCACCACCATTTAGGCTAGCAGTGGCCTCGTGTCACAAAATTAGTCCTCCAACCTCAAAAACATCAAATCCTGGGAGAATACATTAAAGGGCTTAAGGTGGGATGGGGGACAGGACCATATGGAAAGCCCTTGAGGTTAGTGGCACTATTGACCTTGTCCAAGCAAGCAACCTGGCCCTGTTCACCACGACCCAACTCCCCCAAAATGAATGTCTCTGGTATCTCAGCTGAACCTTTAGGTGGGGCTGAGGGCAAGACTCTGTTTTTCCACTGGAGGACATGAGTCAGTGAACAGTGAGGTTCCACTTAATCACCACCCAAAAACAAGGTCCTTAAAACCAAGAGCTAAAAAAGCAAGGAAGTGATTAATATAAAAGTCAGGATAGTGATTATTCCTTGGGCAGGGCAGGGGGGACACAGTGGGGGTGGGGATGGGAGTGGGGGTGAGGGACCTGCTGGAGAAGCAATATATAGAGGTCTTCCGGAGTCCGAGAGTGTTCTAGTCCTTGACCTCAGCAGTGGTGGCTTTATAATTATACATGTTGTCTGTAATTTTCTAACTATGTATTATATTTCACAATTTTAAGCAGCTGAAAAAAATGTTTTTAAACAGGGGAAACTGACCAGGTTTGTATTATTAGTATTGAATGGAAAATTGATTGAAGGTGGGGCAAGGCTAGAGGCAGGGAAAACAGGAGGTGAGGTGACTGCCATAATTTGGTGGGAGATTATAATGACTGAGGTAAGAAAAGTACAATATTAAGGATGTAGTCCTTATTTTTATTTTTATTTTATTTTTAAAAATACAACCAAAATAAGATAGAGGTTGGCACTAGCCCCTCAGGTCACTTTTTGCCTCTGTGTGTTGGGTGACTCAGGAGTTATAGCCCAGGGGCAGGCACGTGTCTAAACAGACACATAAGCAGGACTTTCCCCTTGCCTCCCTCCCTGGTAGCTCTACTCAGAGGGACTCCCTGCCTGGCCAGTGGGGATGAGAGCACATTTTTCACCATTCCACAGTTGAGTTGATATAGGGGCCTCTATCACAACATATAATCCCTCAGTCATAACATCTAATCACTCAAGACTTGACAGAGCGTTTTCACATCTACTGTCTGGTACCAGAATGTTAGGTCCGTGAGCACAGAGGTGTTGCCTTGTTCATGGCTGTATCCTCAGGGCCTGGAACTAAACCTGGTACACAGGAGGTGCTCAATAAATATTACTGAATGAATGAGCACATTTAATTATTATTGATATTTGATCGTCACAACAACCCGTGAGGGTCGCTAGGACATGAATTATCATCCCCATTTTGGAAGTTAGTAAACAAAGACTTGGGGAAATCAAGGAACATGTCAAAGAGTTGATAGCTCGGTTGACAAGAGAATCATGATTTGATTTCAGGTTTTTTGCTTCAATTCTCTTGTTTTTCCCACTTCTTTGCAGCTGAAAAACCAAGGCTTCAAGTTTTTATAGCCCTGAAACACTAGCTGGAAGTATTCCAAAACACATAATAGGTATTATCAGATATCCCATGTCCTCTGATGTGCTAGGTTTAGACAAATGAGGCCCACCCAGCTGCTGACACATCAGTCACCACAGTCCCCTTAGAGGAGATCACCCCCACTCCCACTGCTTGAGGACAGAAGTTCCAATCCTGAAGAAAACTGATCTGGATGATCAGATCTTGTCGGCCCTAGGCTCTATGCCCCTCACTTGTCTCTACTCTCCGTCCCAGTCATTCCACCCCTCCAAGCAAAAGAAGCTTAAGGAAACCCTGTTATTGCAAAAACACATGTTCTCATTTTTCTTCTTAAGAAAATACATAAGAAAAGGAAAAGAAGAAATAAAGAAAAATGGCAGCAGGTAGTTTTGGTGCTCAAGAGCCCTTGTCATCCAAGTGGAATTCCATGGGGAGGCTAACACATAATGTTCCATGAAAAATTAATCTTAGTTTCTTTCCTCTTAATATTAATTGAAAGTAGTCATTTGAAGCCTAAACCACAACTCAGATACCTAGGAACTCCCGATGTTCAATTAATGTGGGTATTTATACACCTGGAATCAAGCAGGCCTTCCATGGGAATCCCAGTCAAACTCCAAGAACTAGCAAACACAATATTTAAAACAGTATTTTGGAGAGAATATAAAACACACAAGCCACTCAGAAAAGTCAAACTTGTAGGTTGCCTTTCTCCCTTCCTCCCCTGCACGGTCTGATATTCACTTTTTATCCCAAGAGCAATTTGGTCTAGGAGAGTTGGACCATCCTCGTCAAACAGTCTGTGTAACTCCCCTGAGAGTGTCACATGTAGGACTCACCAGAAATTCATCAGCAAACTCTTTGTTAGTTTTCTTGTTTTGGGCCTCCTCCAGGAACTTGTGCAGAATTTCCCTTTGGTCCATGCTGCAGGACAAGAGAAACCGTCTACCAGCGGGTTACAGGAGGGCATGTCAAATGTATGTCATGGCCGAGATACCACCAAGAAGCCGCTGCTGTTGCTGGAGCAGAGCATGTTGAAGGCTGTGGTTAACTGACTTCATCACAAGCCCTAGAGGAAATTAGTACGCAACCAGCCTCTGTGGTCACACAACAAAGCCATCATCACTCCAGGGCCCTAGTGCCTTCCTTCTCAAGGAAGGAACCTGGTTACAACTCAAGTTGTAACCAACAAGAGGCTAACCAGAGCATCATACATGGTCTGCTTAGCTCCGAGACTGTTCCACTCCATCATCTTTTTTTTTTTTAATTTTATTATTTTCTGTTAGTCACCATACAATACATCATCAGTTTTTGATGTGGTGATCACGATCCACTGTTTTCGTATAACACCCAGTGCTCCATGCAGTACGTGCCCTCCTCAATACCCATCACCGGGCTAACCAATCCCACCCCCCCTTTCCCTCTAAAACCCTGTTTGTTTCTCAGAGTCCATAGTCTCTCATTCCACTCCATCATTTTTAAGCAAGATTCACTTTTTTCCGGTTTCCTGGGGAAAAGGCAGAATGCCAGGTCTCATGGATGGGGTCTGCCTCTCCCCATTGCCTCAGTGAACACAAAGGCCCTGTTGACACCTTCTGTTTCCTCATGTCCCAAACGAACTCAGCCAAGTTCAGTCAGGGTCAGAAAGGGAGGCTCCAAACTTCACTGTTTGGAGTTAAGACATCTTCTGCCTGTACTATTCTCCCCAAAAGTGTCTTGTCCATGTGATCGGTGGCAAATTTCTGTTCATCAGAGAAGGCATTTTTATTCAGAAGTTTTAAGTCTGCCATATAGACCTCAAACAAACTCTCTTTTGGATGAAGCAAAGTCAGCTGCTTCTGACAGTCTGTGTCTCCCCCAGGGCTGGGGAAGTGCTGACCTCGGTTAAGGGAAGTGTTGTTGATTTCAGGACTGAGTGTTGGTCTATATGGGATCCAGGAGCACAGTGGCCCCCATGAGGAGCACCTGACCAGGAAACTGGCACAACGCCCCCTGTATGCAATGCTAGTTAACTATAAGGAACAGAAAAAGAGTAACATCAACCACCTTGCTGGCAACAGTATAACTTTCAGGGTGCAAAGCATGAACCCTGTCTAGAGAAGACATTTCTACTCTCCCAACTGGTGCCTTGGAAAAGGCCATCGTTTCAGGAAGCCATGCTGTGCGTGTGGCATTTTGGCCCTGTTTGACAGGCTGGCTGTTCTAGATAAAGCTTCCACATCTCAGCTTGAATAAATCCTCTCCTCAGTGGGTACAAACCTACTTAAGACTGTCTCATCCAGAGTGAGCGCAGCCCCAAATCAGCATATCATCTCTGCTTGAGGACAGAAATTCCATAAATAATTGTTAACAAAATTAGTCTGAAATAATCCTGAAGAAAACTGGGAAATGTGCCATTAGAACTTCCTCTATTTAAGATATTAGCAATCCTTTCTGTTTTGCATTATTCAAACTCCCTTTGGGAAATCATGACTCCAAACACTATGAAGCCGCCTCCACTCTATTGAGCCTCACAACAGGAAAGGAACGGTCTCTGAGGGATTCTGCTTATAGGCAGGTGAAGCCAATAAAGAATTTCAATCCCGAGCCACACAATAAATTAAAATGAAGCAGAGTTCTTCAACAATATTTGTTGAGAATGGGATAGGATTTCTCCAATTAGCCCCATTTAGCATTAAAGGGGAATTTTTTTGTAGCACTAACTAAAGCAATGTTTAATTTGGCTATTTTAAGGCATATAAAATATGGGGGGAAGCCTTTAAAAGCACAAAATCTAAAGTTCACAATAACTCAAACCCTGTAAAAGTATATACAAGGTTAGATGAAGACTAAGTGATGCAGGAAAGGATCAATTGTGTAAGTGCTGGGATCAAGGTGCTTTTTAAAAGTCTTTTAAAATTCTTATGCCATTTTTTTAAGTTAGAAAAAAGGAATAAAAATCCATCAATTTGTTCAACAAATTTATTGAGTACCAACTAAATGCTAAGCACTATGTTAGGGCTGGGGATGCAGTAGCAAACAAGTCAGAATATAGTGAAAAGGACCCTTAACCAGTTAATAAAGCATCTCAAGACTAAGACATAGATGTAATTACTAATTAAAATAAAACATTCCAAATAACTTGCTCATTTGCAGAGTAGCAAAGCATAAACTGAAAAGGAAAATGATTTTCTGTATTTTAACAAGAGAGAGAATTTCATAAACTCTCTGTCCCCTTAGGAATGTAATCACTTCCAACCAAACCAGAACTTTATTAATTAATAAACAAAAAGAGACCCAATCAAATAAGATTTAAAGCTCTTTTTCTCAAGCTCATATTTCAGAACAATCTTTAACTTCAGTCTCTTCTTAGGGAGAGCTAAGATAGAGACAGATATGAGGTAAAGAGAAACTCGCTGAGATGCCCTCTGTAGTCCTTTTACCCCAATATAAGAATCTAAAAATAGTGTCTTAGCATAACTGCAGATTTTTTTTTAAAAGCAAACAGCAATTCTTAGGAGTCTGTTCCATTCTAAAACCAAAAGAGACAGAAACATCATGAAATAACCAAACCTCAAAAACCCACTTAGCTGAAAGACCATTTCCTGAGAAGACCACTCAAGCGAGCAAAAAACAAAACTGAAGGAGAAAACAAAAAACTTCAGTTTTATTTTTAACAAATCTAAGCTGCTACTTAATTTTTCACACTTCCTTCTATAGATACTTACTTATAGGTGTCTACAGACAACAAGAGCATGGTGCTTTTTGATAAAGATTCTGATGACTCATTTATATCTTGTGGGAAGATCAAGAGCTGGGGAGGGGGGAATATGTTATACAGCAGAGACTGGCAAGTACCTAAAAGAATTTACGAATTTGTGGTGAAACATTGAAACCAGTCTGGCTCACACCCTGCGTGAACACGACAATTCCATGAGCGCTCGGTCAGAACCCTCAGGGGTGAGTTCTAGTGGAAAGTAAAAGTGAATGAGCACCTGAAGAAGAGCAAGGAAGGACCATCTCACTGCTGCCTCCTGTGGCTCCGCTGTGTGGTCAGAAGGAAGAGGACAGCAGAGAGGAGGACCCGTCACATGGTCACCTGTACCAGCAAGAGGGAAGTGTGCCAGTGTAAGGAGAAACATCAGTGTCACGGAGGCTGGAATTAGATGACAAAAAAACACTTCAACCGAAGGGAGTATCAGGGAAGATTATTAGGACATTATTAGCTAACGGGAAATACACTCAGGTTTCTCAGCACATCCTTCTCTCTCTCTGAGCAGGCATGCTCTACCCTGGGGAAGCCACTGACCAATCGTAGCTTCAGTTTCACTATGCCTGCCTTTCTCTACCTCCCAGGGTCATTGATTTGATAGGGGCTCTAGCATTATCTGCGGGACACTCGGTTCTTTGCGAGCATCCGCTGGGTCACCAAGGCCGACCTGTCCTTTCTCCTCAATGTCCTGTAGATTCAAGCAGCCTTTTCCATTCCCATGCTGACCACCATGCCCTTTTGCACACATGGATTGCTGCAGCAATGGGCTCTTCGTTCTAATCCATGCTAGCATCTCCTAGGAACCAAGGCTGGATGAATGTTCGTAAAACTCCACTTTAATGCTCAAGACCCAATGGTCTACAGCTTCCTCCGCCTGCCACCAAGCCCCTCGCCATGTGTCCCCACCCAAATTACCTAGCCACATCACTCACAGGCCTTGCTCTTGCTACTGCCACCTCTTTTGCTACTTCTCACCTTTCCCCTAATTTTCGTCAAGACAAAAATAGAGCTGTAAAGCTTGGTCACTCTTTTCTTCAACAACCCTGCCCCTGACGCCATCTCACCAATGAACTTCTCTTAGTCTGCCTCTTCTCGGAATGAAGTCTTTATATTCAGCCATAGAAGTTTTCTTTGTTTCTTCACATGTTCCTTGTCTCCCATGAGTTTAAAAGAGTTTATTCAAGAGAAAACACACAAACGGCCCCCTGGAGTTTTAAGTTTATCAAAGGCAATGCTAGTGTCTTCTATATGCATCTGGGTAACCCCCAGTGCTTACCAGGGTCTTCAGCACACCTGAAATAAGCCTATCATGATAAAGGACGCTACATAATGTGGTTGGATGCTGGTGAGAGATCCACCCCGACTTGTTTGCTCAAGACAGCAATGACTCCGGGTCTCCTGCCGGGCACTTTCACTGTGCCAGGAACAGATGGGCCTTCCCTACAGGGACATCCAGGACCCTGGCAAAGAGCACTTGCCTGAGGGCTGCTGCCCAGCAGCGGAGCCATGGCCGCCATCACTGACGCAGAGTCCAATCCTGCAGGGCCACCATGGGTGGGTGGGGGGGATGACCTCCTTCCTCTCCAGAATAGATCCAGTTCCCCCTCTCTAAAAGGACACAAAAGAAGCTTATAAAATGCCTCTACTGAAGCTTGTTGCTTTCCTGGTGTTTTTACATCACCCACAGCAGGAAAGTCCACTCCCCAGCTTCTGGTCATGATTGCTTCTGGTCACTACAGTATTCTGAGACCTCATCAAGCTCTTTAGTTCACCTGCTGTGAACTTCGTAGTCAGTACCCCACATTCCACAGGGAATCATGCTCCACCTTTGGTTTCAGAAACACAATCCTCAGGGGGCAAAAGTCAACTGATAATTTCCAAATCACGCAATTTACCTTTTTTTTTTAACTCTTGGTGGGGCTTGGCATCTTGTTCAAAACATAATCAAACATGAAGTCTTATCTTTCTTCTGACTGTTTATTCAGTATTGTCTGTTTATTCATTTAATGAATATTTACGAGATCCATATACATACAAGAGAATGGGGACGAGGGGGCGCTACAGATGTGTGCAACAAATTGTCTTCATTCAAGGATCTTTTATACTCGTAAGGAAGGTAAGTACACAAATAACTATAATCTAAGGCCATTCGTGGTAAGGCCATAAATGTTATGCGCACAAAATTTTGAGAAGGCAAAGATCACTTTGTGCTTGGGTTATCTGGATAGTCTTCATGGAGGAAGCAGCATTTAAGTTAGGCCTTGAATATGTCAAAGAGCCTGAGGAGAAGCAATATGAAAGAGAGAGAGAACAGTAGGAGTTGGGTGGCTTAGTGAGTGGCTCAGTCTGCCTGGAGCCTTGGTTCTGTAGAGTCCTGATTGATAATCAAGGCTAGAAAGGGTAGTTGGAGACAGATCCTGGGGGAATTTGAACACCAGGGTGAAAAGTCAGGCTTTATTTGATGGGCAGCGGAAAACTAGTAAAGGTTGGGTTTTTTTTAATACAACTTTATTGAGATACTATTGACATACAATAAACTGCATACTTCAAAGTGCATGGTTTGATAAGTTTGAAATGTGTACACAGCCATGAAACCATCACCACAATCAAGATAAGGAACATATCCAATCACCTTCAAAAGTTCCACTGGAAAATCTTAAGAAAATGGCAGGCAAAGCAATGTTTCTCGATATTTTTTTTTTTAAGAAATGGCCCCTTCTGATAAATTTTTTGAAAGTCTCATCATCTCCTTCAGTAGTTATGTAAAACTTCAAAATGAATTTTGCCACATCTAGAAATGAATTAAAAGAATAGACAAGGAAACCACAGCTTTGGTCAATCTGGTGGCAGTATATCGGATGGACTGGAATGGGGCAAGCCTGGAACAGGATGATCAATTAACAGCCTAACTAAGAGGCTTTACCAAAAGTCCAGGCAGAGAATTAGGACAAAAGGAAGGAATAAATGAGAAAGACTAATTGTGTGTGTGCAAGACTGGAAAGAGGGAACAGGGAGAAATGACTAAGGTTTTGTGCTAGCTGGATGGCAGTCTGGGAATGTACAGGGATAAGAACGGTACATAGAAATGAAGAATCAGAGCTTGTGGATGTGGATTTAGGAAGCTGGGAAATAAGCCAGACTTGGGAATCACCCACATCAAGGTGAGAGGTAAAGCCAGAAGGTTGGCTTGCCTTTGTGAGAGACCATGTCAGTGGAGAGAAAAAAAGTCAAGGTAGAACTTTATGAACACCGAATCACAGCAGTCCCAAATTGTTAATGGTGCAGTGCTTAAAATATTCCAGAAACTGGGCTAAACCCTTTACACAGTGTATTGTTTCATTTATCCCTCGCCACAATCCCACGAATTAGTAACCAAATCATCTCTATTTTAAGACCTGGAAACTAAGGCACAAAGGAATTGGATTACTGGCCCGGTGTCACATGATTAGTCTATGGTGAAACTAAATTGTTAAAATCAGACAATCTGAAGGTATTCTTAATCTCTGGGCTACCGTGTTTTCTTTCTGCAACCCCACCACTCAGCTCTCCTAGGAAAGGGTGGCCTAGCAACAAACACAAACCAGAGATGTTTTTCCCATTTACTTAGCATAACCTCCAGGGGCACCATATCCTCGATCTTAAGACACTGCCATATATTTGGAGCCAGATTCATATTCTGATGTTTCATTGGCAGTATAGGATAAAACAGGGAGCTTCTCTAGCTAAGTGGGAAAAGAAAAGACAAAGAGGAGGCTGCTGGCCTCTGACATTTATCATTTACTTTATTTGTCCTCTTATTGAGATATAACGGACATATAACTTTGTATAAGTTTAAGGTATACAACGTAATGATTTGCTATATGTATATATTTTAAAATGATTGCCACAGTAAGGTTAGTTAACACATCTATCACCTTGCCTAGCTAAAAAATGTGTTTTGGGGCGCCTGGCAGGCTCAGTTGGTGGAACATGTGACTCTTGATCTCAGGGTTGTGAGTTCAAGCCCCATGTTGGGTATAGAGATTATTTAGAAAAAATAAAATTTTAAAAAAATATATAAATAAAATAAATAAATAATGTGGTTTTGTGTGTGTGTGTGTGGTGAGAACTTTAAAAATCCACTCTTTCGGCAACTTTTCAATATATGATACGATATTGTTAACTATAGTCACCATGCTGTATATTACATGCCCAGACCTTTTTCATCTTATAACTGGAAGGTTATACTCTTTGCCCACCTTCACCTATTTCCCCCACCTCCCATCCCCTGCCCCTGGAAACCACCAATCTGTTGTTTCTCTATCATTCAATTGAGATGGCACTTACTGAGAATTAGTTCAAATACATGGATATAATTTTATTTCACGAACAAAACAGCATTGGTCAAAGTGAAAATAGTGATTTCACCTAAGAAGTAAAATACCACAAAATCCACCATGTTGAGGGCGCCTGGGTGGCTCAGTTGGTTAAGCGACTGCCTTCGGCTCAGGTCATGATCCTGGAGTCCCGGGATTGAGTCCCGCGTCGGGCTCCCTGCTCAGTGGGGAGTCTGCTTCTCCCTCTCCCGCTCTCCCCATCTTGTGCTCTCTCTCTCTCTCAAATAAATAAATAAAATCTTAAAAAAAAAAAATCCACCATGTTGAATTTACAGTAATGTAAGGGACAAAGGAATACATTGTTCAAACTTGGTAGCAAATAAAGCTAATTCCTATTTAAGAGAAACATGAAATCTCATTTGGGATTACTAACCTATTGTGATTTATCCATGAATAGAGGAAATAGCATAACTTAAAAAGCGAAAATATAGTAGCAGCGCTACATCTTTATTTCTATGCATTTAGGGGAAACAGATAGCTGGCTGGCTGAAGGGAGGGGATGTGGTTACACTTGAGCCAAACTGTAACCAAACCATTAATGCCTCTCTTCAAAAATAGATACAGCAATGCTTTTCTTCTTGACAAGCAGGTAAGTAGTCTAGCCTTGGGGCTTATGAATGTAAGAGTCTCTACTTGATGAGTGCCTACTAATCTATGAGGTATGAAGGATTATTACAAGATACACATGCCGTAGATACCATAGGCTTTACTTCCAGTCACTTACGGTAGGGGCCAGGGAAATGTATACCCTCTAGTGACTGACCACCCAGGAGTCCCAGAGCTTTTTGATTTGCCAAAGTCCCAGAGAAAGTGTGGACTCTGCAGGAACTAACAAACACTCTCAGACTGAATTCTAAAAAAAAATAGAGTTATCCTACATACCGTTGTGTTTGGTATGAATGATCAGGATTGCAACAGAATTTAAATTATTCAGAGAGAAACATTCATTTAGCTTTAAAGCAGGGGTCTACATGCTTTTCTGTAAAGGCCAGACAGTAAATGTATTTTACGGGCCATTAGGTGTCTGCTGTAACTCCTCAACTCCGCCATTGAGGTGCTAATACGGGCATGGACAAGATGGAAACAGGTGAGTGTAGCTGCACGCCAATAAACCTATCGACAAAAAAAGCAGCAGACAGGATTTGGCCAAGCCCTGCTCTAACGTGAGGGTTCTCAAGTTCTATATGGACATAAGAAACCCCTGTGCAACTGGTTAAAAAGGTAGGATGCTCGGCCCCAGCCTCCCCCTACAGAGTCAGAATCTCTAGGGATGGGGGCCTGGAAATATAAGGTCCACAAGTGGTATGTAAACCACTTTTTGGTTTGAAAAACACTGTGGTATGCAGCTAGTTTCATCTAAGGTGGGGTGGCCCCACTCTCCTAGATGTGGGCCAGTACTTCCTGCATCCTGTGGCAGTAAAAATGCACTGTTTTATCTTCTGTTGGCCTTTCTAGTAGCAGGGCAGATGAAGAAACTGCCATTTTTTTTGCTTTCAGCCTAAAAATGCATACAATAATTTTGCTTTGGTGAAATTAACACAAAACTTAGGATAGGAATTTAAAAGAAAATCCTCAACTTAAAATAACAAGAGTCCAACAAAGATCTCCCTTGAAGTCCTTTAGACTGTAGAGTAGACAAGATCTTTAATAAAGGACAGGGCTAAATCCGAACAAATAGTTTACTGTGTGCTCCCTTTCCCAAAATACGTCCAGTGAAGCCTTGCTCTGTTGCCTGGAAATTCCACTCCTAACAAGCCATTACTTTGTATCTGGAGGTCTTTGCTTAAATGGAACCTCCTTCAAACTCTCATAAAGACAGAAGGTACAAAATCTCTGTAGACCTCCGAGGGCTGCTCCCAACTTTAGCCATCAGTGGAAAAGAAATTATTCAGCTAAGTCCATTTGTGTCCAAAAGAAAGTAGCTTTGGATTTGGCTGTCTGTGTCAATGGCCAGCAATCAGTCACCAGAACAAAGTGGCAGTGATGTTCAGGCTGGGAAACAGCGCCACCTCTTTTTCAGCTCTCCAGATTTTCCTAGGAAGGACAATGAATATCCTAGAGTCAAAGGGATAGTCTTCCTAAAGGGAGCTTCCTAAAGAAAGCACAAATAATCTACAGATACCACCAGGGAATGCAGCTCTTACTGAGGCTTGTGCTGCTGCTGGAAATGAAGAGGAATGCTCAGTGAGAGCAGATGTTCTAATGATTACTAAGACATGGGCTTAGAATGCCTCCTAGAGTTATCGCTGCAGCAGATGACACTGTTTTTTGTTAGACAACAGGGGGATGATTCTGAATTTCTGAAGCTGGGCTGAGACTAGTACTCTATCACCAGTATACTTAATAGGCCATTATATATAGGCAGTGGGATTTAGCTCTACGCTGTTAGTAGTCAATTAAAATTTTAGGCAAAATGTCTCTGGAGTCCAACACCCGTAGGCCTGAGCTTCTGACTGCTCCCCTTCCCACTGGGGGTAAAAAAAACCCAAACTGCCATTTTCAGCAAAGTAGGAAGACCTGTTTTTCTACTTGGTTTCCAACTTACAGAAAGAATCAGGAATTGGGAGGCCCAGGTATTAGTACAAAAGCAATGCAAATGCCTATCAAAGCCAGGGCCCCAACGTACTCACCCAACCTCCCTGGCCCTGGACAAACTCCCGGATGGCACTGTTCCCATTGATCATGTTTGTCATGGGGACAGCCACCTGTCTTGCCATTTCGGGAGCCATGCGGGCCACATATTCAAGAAGCTTCACTGACACTGCCAGAAAGGCTCTCTCGTAAGCTAAGCTGGAATCCTGAGCACACCAGGCCTGGCTGAGAGATTTCACTGTGTCCCGCAATACAGCTCCTGCCTGGGGAGAGACACAGGAAATCAGTGAAGTAGCAATAAAAAGGTACAGGAGGCTGCAGGTGTAGGAGTCCAGTAAAGCAAGAGTTTCCTAGAGAATGGCAAATGCACCACTGGTTGTATCTGGGGTAATCTTAAGGAGTAGATGGACAAGCTTTTATTACTTTGTTATTTACTGTAATGGGTATAGAGAAAAACATAAGTAGCCCATCAAACCCATGAGTTCAGATATTATTACTTAGGATGAGCACAATGGTTGAAAGAAAAACAAAATGATTTGAAAGAAAAATATTAAGTATGTAATAGTACAGCTGGTCAAGTTGTAGAGGTATTACTTGAATGACTGAAGTCTGGGGAATTCTAAAGTAAAAAAAAAAAAAAAAGATTTGTTTTTCCTCTTCCTCTTCCCTTCCCCCCAAAATTGATCTAGAAGTCATTAGGTGGGGCCAAGCAAGATCTACTGTGGTGTAGTGTAGGGGGACCCATGGTAGTCAGAGCAGGTTGTCAGAACCCAAGCAAGCTGGGGCGCCGTTAAGCGTCTGCCTTCCGCTCAGGTCATGATCCCAGGGTCCTGGGATCGAGCCCCTCATGGGCCTCCCTGCTCAGAGGGAAGCCTGCTTCTCTGTCTCCCGCTCCCCCTGCTTGTGGGTTCCCTCTCTGGCTGTCTCTCTCTCTGTCAAATAAATAAAATCTTTAAAAAATTTTTTTAAAGAACCCAAACAAGCTGAAGAGGGCATCCACATGTGTACCCAGATCTTGGTTTCCAAATATCATTCTCCATTGAAAGATACCAGAGTTCTCTGGAGAATGGCTGATTTCAGGCTGGGGCTTGGAAAATACGAGAGATCTGTCAGAAATTAAGGAAGTACTCACAGAATGACAAGGACATGCTAAAAAGACACAGCCCAGATGGAGAGGACTCCCACTGGTCAAAACTGGGACAATTTGAGCATCCAAATAAATAATGATAGTAACAGATTATAACCCTTGAATAAAGTAGGAATTCATAAGTCCGTGTTGCTATAAAAAAAATGAATAGATTGAAATGTTGATGGGATATGGGATATTTACATGGTTTCAAAGTACCTCCCTCCACAACACTTAACTATGTTAACCACAGATATTAACTACAGTGGAGAAGACTTGCAGACACCATCCTAAGTGATTGAAGTTAACATCACTAATGTGACAAATTAAAATTTGTGCCACTTAATAGGTGCTATGAGAACACAGCAATCCTTCCTACCAAAAGTACATACCCTGAATCCACTCATGAGGAAACATGGAACAAACCCAAGCTTAAGGGACATTCTACAAAGTAACCAACCCATAATCTTTGAGCATCAAGGTCACAAAAAATCAAGGAAAGACTGAGGAACAATGCCAGGTTGAAGGAGACTAAAGAGACATGACAACTAAATGCAGGATCTGATTCTGGCCTGGATCTTTTTGTTGTATGACAACAAAAATGTCATACATTTTTGACATCAACAAATGACAATTGGCAAAACTTCAACAGGATCTGAGGACAAGATGATAATGTGTCAGTGCTGATTTCCTAGTTTTGATGTGGTTATATAAAAGAATGGCCTTGTTTGAAGGAAATGTGAAAGTATTAGGGAATGATGGAACATCATATCAGCTACCTACTCTCAGATGATTCAAGAGGGAAATTCTTTGTACAATTAATTATGTGCAACTTTCCTATGAATTTGGGAGTTTCAAAAAACTTTATTTTTAATTAAAAAACAAAAGTAAATTCAGCTCTCGGGTACCTAGGAAAGTTTCAGTGCAAGCTATTAGGAATAATAAGTCCAGTGCTGCCTGAATAGGTGCACCATCCAAGCTATATTTGGTTAAGAAGAATAAAGCATAATGGTGAACAGTGTGGTTCTGGAATCAGTCTGGGTTCAAATCCTAACTGAGTAACCTAACCTAATTTTTTGTTTCCCTCTTCCTCAGTTTCCCTATCTGCTTAAATGGATATCGAGTCAGAAAATATTTATGGAGGGTCTCCCGTATAGGAGGTACTATTCTGGGTTGTGTGAATACTGCAGTGAACAAAGAGGTTAGATGTTTGCTCTCACAGCGTTCCGTGCACAGGAAGAGAGGTTGCCCTGTGAATAACAGTTCCTATAATACCCCAGGGAGTGGTGGAAGGTTTAAATGAGATAATAAGTGCAAAGTATTTGTAATAAATACTGTTTGGCACCTGTTAAGTGATGAGTTCATATTACCTGCCATTATTGATATTAATCAGCAACATCTTCTAGAATGTCGCCTATGGTCTTTGCATCCAAGGCAGAATCCAAGTGCCACTGCCAGTAATCAACATTCTAATGAAAAGCCAGCTATGCCCTAGATGGCTGCTGTAAGTACTTAGCCCTCACTGCAGCATACTTGTGGACTTCCTGCCTTTCTGGTACATAATTTCATTGCTGGACTTTGGGGAGGTGTGAGGGGAAGATGCCCGCTCCCAGCCAGATCAATGTTAAAACAGGTACATAAAAGAATAAAGTGCTTTACCAAGAACAAAGTGCTACAGATGTGCTCTATGTCACATAAGCACAGCTCTGCTGAAAAACAAATGGGAACAATTTGAAGGTTGACCAGCCCTTGCCAGTACCTCTCAATACCACTTGGGCCTTTGATTAACTCCTGAAGAATTAGCAATCAGAGAATTATTGCTGTGTCTCCTTGGATGAACATAAGCCCCCAAATCTTTCACAGGACATTTCTAGTTATAGCCATATAAGAGTGGTAAGAAAAGAGCATCTGGAATAGAAAAACAGCAGCAACTTTACCTGTCCCTGAATGGTTTCTGCAATGACATTTTTGGCAGAAGCTTCCAATTCTCCATTGAACTGGTCACCCAACATCCGAAGGCGGCCAGCAATGATGGCCACGTCAAAAGAGCAAGACTCTCCTAAGATGGAGGCAACACATTCACATTTGTTACAGAACTTGAAGGGACGGCCAGTCCCAGGCATCTGGGCATTGGAGAATGTTCTCTAGACTTTAAACAATCTTGGCATCATTCTCTCCCAAGAACACCTTCAATATTCTGTCAACCCCATAGTCAGAAGATCTCCTTTCACTGAGACTATCTTTCCCTTCTATGGAAACTACTGATTTTCAGGTATTGCTGAAGCTTAGTTTGCCTTTTTGAAACTTAAGAGGAAATAAGAAAGCATACTCAGATGCTCTTATTGACCTGCAATCACCACCTCAGGCTAGGAGCCTTACCTGAATCTGGTTCGTCTCCACAACGTAGGTCCCGGTTAGCAACCTGCATTGTGGTGCCTAAGAAGTCTGTAAGTAAAGTGTCCACGATGCATTCTGTTTGCTCCTCAAAAGTTCGGGGCCTCTTCATTTTCGATATTTGCTGCAGAGTTTTTGCTTTTCCACAAAACAAGCAGTTTTCAGTTCAGCAGGAAGTCAGAAATACTGGTAAACCAGATGCATCTACCTTTGTACTTCATAAAGTTTCCTAATGGGACGTGTAGTCCTAGAGCCTGTCCTACCAATTTTTTTCAAACTAGCTGGTCAGAAACATGGGACATCTCTGAAAAGCTCACCTACACAGACTGGGAAGACTTTTTGAAGACTTTCAGTTCCTTTTCTCCGAACCACACTCTAGCCAGTACCTAAGATTAATGAGTAACTTTTATCATTAGCCAATTTAGAACTGAAATAGAGTTGAGGAAGTTTCTTGGGCAATTTCATTTAGAAATACTTCCTGTTAGGTTCTGTGTCTGGTGCAGTTTAAAGTTCTGAAGTTATAATAGACAAGCATTCAATTCCTGATAGATGGCATTTGTGTGCCATAATCAGACGTTTTATGTACTGAATGTTTATGGGTAAGGAACTATGTCTGGCACTACAAATAAGACAGGAAAATGACACAGACACAGCTCCTGTCCTCATGGAGCTTATGTTTCAGCATGCACAGCAGATATTACATGACTAATCCCATAATTTCTTGTGCTTATTGAGATACAGTGTGTGACTACAGTGTGCAATGGGTAATCAGAGCTAGGGGGTTAGGAGGGCTTCCTTGAGGTTGTAACATCTTAGATGAGCTCTGAAGGACAAGTAGGGATTATGAGGCAAAGAGGAGAAATAAAAGCATTCCAGGTGGGAATAGGATATATAGAAGCTGAGAAGGTGGGAAAAAAAGTTGGGTGTTTGAGGAATTAGGAATGGGGATAACACAAAGTACTTCACAGGGAAATTTTATGAGGATTAAATAAGATAATGTTATGTGGGATGATCCAGCAGTTTCTGACCTGTAATAAGTGTTAAACATCTTTCCTGTTAGCCCAAGGCCTGAGGACCAGGATGACAGGGATCTGGGATTCACTCTCCAACAGAATTAAGTAGGATTCTCCTGACAGGGGTTAGACACCATCACTGTTTTGACGAGATCTCATGATTGGACACTTACCCACAGTGGCCACCTTCTTAATGTAGCCACACTTAGATTTTGGATTTGGGTGTCAGCACTCAAACTATCAGGTCTTCCAGGGTATTCTGACCTGGTGAGCTGATAAGAGATTCAGGCATAAGCAGTAAGTCAGTTATTCAGAACGAAAGTTCTACTTGCAAAATAAAGAGAACCAATCTTCTGATTTCTATTCTATTCTAAATAGATCATAAATTGCTTTTGGATAAGAAACAGAAATTAGGTAAAGGGCCGTTTTCATTTGTCATCTATCACTAGGGCTGAAACTTCAGTTTCTGCTAAATAAGCTTCAGACCTCTAACATAAGAAGGTCCTTCTAAGATAATTCTGAGCCACCTCCTTTCACACTAGAGCCAGTTACTAAAAATTTAAGGATTCCATCAAATTAATTTATGACATACTCCCCAAATTGCATACGAAAACAAACAAAAGTTTTATAAGATACCATCCAATTGGTGTTAAATATCTTACCCAAGGTAAATGGCATCTGTAAGTGGCAGAATAGAAATTTAAAACCAAGTATGTCCTACCTCAAATAATAAATCTTTTCCCACAGTTTCGTTTCACAGCTGATGTACTTATGGGCAAATGCCATCTTAGGAATCTAATCTTTTTTTTTTTTAACATATAATGTATTATTTGTTTCAGGGGTATACAGCTGTGATTCATGAGTCTTACACAATTCACAGAGCTCACCATAGCACATACCCTCCCCAATGTCCATCACCCAGCCACCCCATCCCTACCACCCCCCTCCACTCCAGCAACCCTCAGTTTGTTTCCTAAGATTAAGAATCTCTATGATTTGTCTCCTTCTCTGGTTTCGTCTTGTTTTATTTTTCCCTCCCTTCCCCTATGATCCTCTGTCTTGTTTCTCAAATTCCTCATATCAGTGAGATCATATGATAATTGTCTTTCCCTAATTGACTTATTTTGCTTAGCGTAATACCCTCTAGTTCCACCCACGTCGTCGCAAATGCAAGATTTCATTTTTTGATGGCTACATAATATTCCAGTGTGTGTGTGTGTGTGTGTGTGTGTACACATAAACACCACATCTTCTTTATCCATTCATCTAGACATGGACATCTAGGCTCTTTCCATAGTTTGGCTATTGTGGACATTGCTGCTATAAACATTGGGGTGCACGTGCCCCTTCGGATCACTACATTTGTATCTTTGGGGTAAATACCCAGTAGTGCAATTGCTAGGGTAGCTCTATTTTCAACTTTTTGAGGAACCTCCATACTGTTTTCCAGAGTGGCTGCACCAGCTTGCTTTCCCACCAACAGTGTAGGAGGGTTCCCCTTTCTCCACATCCTTGCCAACATCTGTCATTTCTTGACTTGTTAATTTTAGCCATTCTGACCGGTGTGAGGTGGTATCTCATTGAGATTTTGATTTGTATTTCCCTGATGCCAAATGCTGTTGAGCACTTTTTCGTGTGGCTGTTGGCCATTTGGATGTCTTCTTTGCAGAAATGTCTGTTCATGTCTTCTGCCCATTTCTTGATTGGATTATTTGTTCTTTGGGTGTTGAGTTTGGCAAGTTCTTCATAGATTTTGGATACTAGCCCTTTATCTGATACGTCATTTGCAAATATCTTTTCCCATTCTGCCGGTTGTCTTTTGGCTTTGTTGGCTGTTTCCTTGGCTGTGCAAAAGTTTTTTATCTTGAGGAAGTCCCAATAGTTCATTTTTGCCCTTGCTTCCCTTGCCTTTCGCGATGTTTCTAGGAAGAAGTTGCTGCGGCTGAGGTCGAAGAGGTTGCTGCCTATGTTCTCCTCAAAGATTTTGATGGATTCCTTTCTCACATTTAGGTCTTTCATCCATTCTATTTTTGTGTGTGGTGTAAGGAAATGGTCCTGTTTCATTCTTCTGCAGGTGGCTGTCCAATTTTCTCAACACCATTTGTTGAAGAGACTGTCTTTTTTCCATGGGATATTCTTTCCTGCTTTGGAATCTAATCTTTGCATTATCTTATCCTCTGCATTATCTTGTAGAATCAATGTTGTAAGGCTAAGGAAACGGAGTATACCTTCTCCTGGACAATGTAGGGTAGTTTCCTCCTTTGTGTATTTCTTCTTGAGGCTTCATTATAGCGTCTTCCCGAACCATCCCATCCCTTCTCCCACAGCTCACATACCCCTCACTATTGCAGTTCAAGTTCTGTCTCCCAGTTATTGCTGAAAAATGAGGCCACAATGCTTCCACCATCACTTGCTTCTTTTCCTGCTCTGGCCACAACAATTTACATCCCTCTCTCAAAAGCCTCATCACCTTTTATCATTGGCTCAAAGTCTAGGGTCTTGGTATCTGCACCAGGTCTGCCTGTGAATGAGGTTCCTGGGTACAGCTCCTCTCAATGTATAAATCTATAACTGAGAAAATAAGTTCTTTGCCTCCTCTCCCCCAAACACCCAATATATGAGAAAGGGATAGAATAATGGTAACAGAACTCCCATTCAAAAAGAGGGGTGGGGGAAATGGAGCCATTTAATAGCCACTAGTCCATGGCAATAAGATTATGGTCAGGAACTACATAAATGATTGCCTCTGCAATGTTCTAAAGCGCCATGGTCATCAGTGGGCACCCATTACATGTGAAATATATACTATTTCCCAACAAGACAGACATTAGAAAACCATTTTTCTAAAAGCACAATATCAACTATTCTGAAGGATTTTTAAAAATATGCACCTACTTATATCACATCATCAAACCATATGTCTGCCAAGGCTAGAGAGACCTCTTAGGGAGAAGAAATATAATTAACTTCATGGTATACTTAAGCTTTAGTCATTTTGCTTATAAATTAGCAAAATCAGGCTACAGTTAAGAGAAATCATTTCTTCCTTGAGATCATTTTATTTTTTTAGATTTTATTTATTTATTTGAGAGAGAGAGAATGAGGGAGAGAGCACGAGAGGGAAGAGGGTCAGAGGGAGAAGCAGACTCCCTGCTCAGCCTGATGTGGGACTCGATCCCGGGACTCCAGGATCATGACCTGAGCCGAAGGCAGTTGCTTAACCAACTGAGCCACCCAGGCGCCCTTTGAGATCATTTTAAAAGTATACTTTTCAAAAGCAACAGTTTCATATTCTGCTATGCCCCATATATTACAGAGAAGCAACCAAGTAGGACTTAATCTTTTTAAAGCTCCAATAGCTAGGATCATTTTAGTAACATTTATTCAATTATTGAGCCATACCTAATTTTCTTTAGGTCAACATTTCAATTATAGTCTTTAATTTTTAAAAAAAGTCCATCAGTTTACTTAATCTTTACCATTTCTATCTTATTCCCTTATAACACTGTAAATTGGCAGCACTTTACACTTCCATTTTATTTCTTTTAGCACCTAATTAAACATTCATGGTTTAACCGAACAAGTCAAACTATGGAAAAAGCAATTCTGAAGCTGTTTTGATCTCTCTACATGTAATCCCTGGGGACCCATGATCTAGCTCATTCTCAATGAGGAGCGATTTTGTCCCGCCAAGGCACCTTTGGCAATGTCTGGAGACATTTTTATTATGACTGGGGGTTCTATTGGCATTTGTGGATACAGGTCAAAGATGCTGCTAATAATCATCCTACAGTGCGCAGGAAAACCCTCCACAACAAAGAATTATCTGGCCCCAAATGTCAGTAATGCCACTTTTGAGAAACCCTAGTCTAGGTGGACTTCCACTATTGTTTGGTTGATACAATATGATACAATATAGCAAAATACACACTTCAAACATCAACCCCAAAACACCATCAGAATCTAATTACTGACAGCCACTCATTTGGTAAATATTTATTGAGTCATCACTATGTGGCAGACTGTGGAGATGGAAGGAAAGAACCTCACTGTCCTTAGAAGTTGTCCAGGGGGAGATCAATTCACAAAATCCAGGCCCTTGCCAGAAAATTCAATACTGTCTGTTATCTACTCCTATTAAGAGCCTAGTTGAGAGAAATGATGGATGAAAAAAATTTTTAAAGGTATGCAGTCCATTTACATATCTATGTAACAAGTCCTTGAATTAAGCTAGATAATATTTGAATTGTGTTAAGTCCTTGAAGAAATGCCCTCCCTAAGCTCCATGTTAAAGTTATGCTCTCTGCTTTCATTGAAGAACACCATTAAGTCATGAGAAATCCGTTACTAACTTCCCCTAAGAATCTTGTATGTATTCCTCTGTGTCACCTATGTGAAACTACCTGTAAATTTCTTTTAGAAATTAATATTGGAAGGCTTCTTCCTCTCTGATGACATCTATACACCTATTTCTCTTCACCCTGACTGCCAAATCACTTAGCTAAATTTGAGGCTCAACTGTACCAATTATGTAGGCCCTTAAGCCTGAACATTTGTGTACTTCCCCATCCCCAACCAAGCTGGTCTGAGGTGGTATTTCCATTTTCCCTGTTGTGGATCCTCTGGTTATTTATACTTTACTATATATACTTTAAACCATTTTATTACATCTGCTCTTGCCATAAGTTGCCTCAGTTAATGTATATAATGTGGGCAGGTATGAATAAAATTGAAAGCAAGGAAGAGTGACAGAAAACAATTACAACAGTACTGCTAGACACATGCACTGGAGGCCGTGACAGCCTGAACAGGACCCATAATGAAAGCATCAAGGGTCACAGAAAACTTCCTGCAAGAGCTCCTGACTGAGCAGAATGCTGAAAGACAAGGACTAGATGTTACCTAAAGAAAGGAGATATGAGGGTGAGGAAATGTTCTAGCCAAGAAATAAAAGCAGGAGCAAAGTACAGAGGTGAGAGAGAGCCTTGTGCATTCAAGGAATGCCAAGTGGTTTGCTTATGCAAGACCAGGGTGTTTAGGCAAGAGGTGAGACAGGAACTGAAGAGTTACTTCTGATACCGCACTAAAGGACTTTGGACTCTGGCCTTGAAAAGCATGATTAGATAGAGGAGACCAGTGAGGAATTTATTGCAGTAATACAGGGAAGAAAAGATGACCCCCACAAATGATGACTTCATCAGTTTCCATAAACATCAGGCATCTTTAATTAGTAAAACAATCCCTAAAACGGATTAGAAAAGAATCCAAATCCTATCCTCACCCCCTCCCCATCCCCTTACCAACATTAACCTTTTCAACATCACCTGGAAAAATGGGGTCATTCACCTATAGGTATGAGAAGAATAAGTCAATAGTCTTTGGACAAAAACATAAGAATCCTGATTCTGAGACTGTCCATTCTCCTTTGCATTTGATAGTATCTGGACTTACAAGCGAATTCTAATAAGAAAAACTAGGAACTCTGATAGCTACTCATCTCACTTAGCACAGGCAGCAAGAATCTGTTATGATTTTATGTCTCCAATTGTTCCAAGCACAGTTTCTAATACGGAAATAAAACTATTCAAGGTCTCAGTCCTTGGCTCATTTTGTTTCACAGAGATCTGCATTTCTGAGCTCTCGGGCTCCAAGAGCAGTTCTGTTAGGAACAGGCAGCCAGTGTCATCCTGAGCACCGAGGTAGGCTTTCCACGGGTGAGCCCCCGCCCTGCTCATTGCGATGGTCTGGATGTTCACTACCTGCAGGGCCATCTGGAGGGTATCAGGATGGACGGCTCCCCGCCAAGGGAACACTTGCTGATGGGCAACTTTCAGGCTAAACCAAGTTTTCTCAAAATACTCAGCAGTCAGCTGGCAACTGGGGACTAGCATG